ATTAGTTTTCAGTACTCATATACTCATGCATACTTAAAATATGTATTTTAATGCTTATGTACTTTGTACTTTAAATACAAGGCATAAGTATATACTTAAATAAATAAATGCCTAAGTGTTTTAACATTTTTATACTTGGTAGTTCTATAATTTAAAACTTTAATACTAAGTTATGCATACTTAAAGGTAACAAATTCCTGGGGAATGTTATCTTAGTTTTACCACATCAAGTAAAGAACTAAAGTACATCAAAATAGATTAAATGACTTCTGCACCTTTAAATTTGTTGAAATAAATTATTTAAAATTGTTTTTTGTGCTCTAAAAATGCAAAGTTGAATAACAAAAAAATTATCTAAGATAGTTTCTCACTGAATTTTTCTTTTGGTTACAGAATTTCTACAAGTGTGAAAGAATTAGAAAACTTCAGAAACTTGTTACAAAATATTCATTAAAGAAAAGGAGTTGAAATATGCCTGTTTCTGGCCAATGGAGGTCAAAGAGTAGAATTTTGTTTAAAGACATAATAACAATGACGGTCTTAAGGCAAATATTTTATAAAGCTGCTTTTGTAAAAGGAGACATACTGATTTAAGTAAATATTTTTGAATTGTGTTAAGTTTATGTATAATATTGTGAGTAAAAGTTATACTTTGGTAATGCTGTACAAATTTTGAAGTTTAATATTGAATAAAACCAGGATTATTAAATTCATATATGGTAAAATTAAATACATGATGTTTTAAGTCTCTCAAACTAGAATTTTATGTAAAATGTAATATAAATAAAACTATGGCCATTGTGATAAGTGTTTAATAGAAAAATGCTAAGGAGGCTCATGAACGACCCATAATTAACAGCCTAAAATTCTTCAATGCATTTAAAGTTAACTGATACAGTAAATAAAAATACAGAATGACCAGTTAAATTTGAATTGCAGCTAAACAGTTTTTAATATAAGTATGTTGCATGCAATATTTGAGAAATACGTATACCAAAAAATTCTTTCTTATTACAATTCAAATTTAACTGGTAGTTCTGTGTCTTATCTGGCAACCCTCAAATACATTGGTATGAAGAAAAGTCACTTCTAGAATTACTATTTTGATTGGCTTGTTTTGGTTTGTAGAAAGATACAGTGACAATTGAAAGGCATAGGGGATTTCTATACATTGTGAAAATTGAATAGATTTATATATTTATTCTCATAATATTTTACCTAATACTGAGTAAAATTTGGGAGAAATTTTTTATTTTTATATAATTTCAAATTTACAGAAAAGTTTTCAGGATAGTACAAAGAACTCTCACCCAGATTCACTGATTGTTCAATTTGCTTAATCATGACCTTTGAATCTTCCATACTTTAGTGTGTAATACTGAATAATTAAAAATAATTTCAGAAAAAAATCTGGAATTATAATAGAATAAGGAATCATTTCAGATTTTAATCTAATGTTCTTTTTTAGTTTTGTTACTCTTTTCATGTTTGATCTGTACACTCATAATATATGTAATTTTTGTTTTTTGTGTTCATTTCCTTTTTCTCCTTAAAACTAAACTGTAATTTTGGGAGGTTTCATTAGTGGAAACGCTTCAATGATAAAAATATTTGAAGGGGTTTAGGAATTTATATCACATGATAATTGTGGGGAAAAACTGTATACCTCAAAATTATGTGCCTCTTTATATGCTTAGCAGGTTATGTTGAGATGTCACATTATTAATAAAACAGGGTTGATTTATATAATGGTTTAGAAATGCCATTTTACACTGCTGTATACTTTTTCTTTTCTGTGTCCCTAAGGCCTGGGATAGTGCCAAGCACATAGTGGATCTCCAGGAAATACTTGTTGGATGAATGTATGAAGATGCATTCAGTATATTTTAAATGAATAATCACAGAGCTAAGTATAACAATATGTGTTGTATTTTCCTTTCCCCTTCATTTGAATAGGGCAAGAAAAGAAAGACTTTAAGCTACTAGTTAAGTCAATATTCTTGGAGACTCAAAGGACTATGTCATAAGCACCATATATAAAAGTTTATGTATTTAAATGGTAATCTGTCTGTATACCTCTCATGCCTCTACCCCTTTTTTCCAACAGCCAGCTTTTTTTGAAAGAATACTCTTATCTTCACTTTGTCACCTCCCACTTACCTAAAATCTGGCTTTTGGCTCTGTAATAGTTCTTAACAATCTCTTCCTTTGAAGTCTAAAACCCCAATTCTAAATCCACAGTTCAGTTCATGAGGCATTTCTTGACTTTTTTTCTGCAGTTGATACTCTTGACAGTTCTTTCTTTAAAAATCTTTTTTTTTAAACCCTTGATTTCTTTGTCTTTCTTCACTTAATCCTGGATGCCTCCTTTTTTGCTTCTTTTCATTTATGCCTTAAGTGTTATTCCTCAGGCTTTCATTCTTGCTCCCTTAAGCACCACCACTTCTCACTTTTGGGTAATTCCAATTCAGTAATTTCTAAGTCCTTATCTTCACTTCAGCCCGACTTCTCTATTCATCTGTCTACTGAAAACCTTTACTTGGTTGTCCTCCAAGATACCAGTGTGTGTTTCTTAAAAGAATCATTCTCCCCCAAATCTGCTCTTATGCCCATGTTCCTTACTCTGGTTAAATTCAGAACCATTATCATCCAAATTCTCTAGACTCACTCCTCTTCTCCATCTTCCTCTGATCCAATCGGTGTCTAGGAGCTATGGATTTGATTTCCCTATCTCTGCTACATCACTCTCTTCCCATATTCATTGCTCTTAACTAAACTACCCTGACCTGTCTGCTTATACCCAGCCTGTGTCCTCTGTTTTGCTCCATGATGCTGCCAGAGTGGGTTTTCTAGAAGCACTCTAACAAGGTTCTCTGATGCAGTCTCCCAGTCCCATTTCCCCCAACCCCCATGTTCTGAGAAAATGGACTTAAGAGTTCTTCCAATGCACCATGGTCAGTCCCCCCACACCCTGGTGCATGCTGTACACTTTGCATCAAGTGCCGTATCTATCTTTCCCCACCTGGAAAATTTCTGTGTATCTTTGAGGGCCCAGCAAAAGCATCATTTCTGTGAAATCTTCCTTGTTGCATCCAAGGAGGGCCACAACTAACTTCCTTTTTTTGTGTTACCACTGCAATTACAACCTACCTCTATTGTGTCACTTACTGTATAGTTTTTGTTTTTTTAAGCCTCCTTAACTAGAATGTGAGCTCCTCAAGGGCAGGAAAAGGAACTTGATCCATTTTTGCATTTCCACAGCATAGTTTTCTGTATATAAACACTTAATAAATGTTTGTTGAATAAATTGCTTTTAAAACTTTGTTTTTAGAGGTCATAATTTTACTCCAAATATTATTTACAGCAAGAGTCAGTAGACTCCCAAAGATTTGTAGACTTTAGGACATCAGTAAAGGTCCTGAAACTGTATTCAAAACCAGTATGTTTTTGGCAGGTTATGAAAGGGGTCTGTTATGGAAAAAATAGTAAGACCACTTCTTTCAGGGGAAAAGGTAATATCAGTGAGGAATTTTTTGAATAATCAAAGAAAAGCTGCCCAAGATTATGGGCCAGATAAATTTATTCCTATTTAAGATCCTAAGGGAATGGAAAGAGATGTTACAAATTATATAAGTTTTATATAAGTTTTTAACATTTTATATAAGTTTTTCTTATCTTAATATTTGAATAAACATGTACTATCTAATATCGTATTGTTACTTTAAAGTAAAGTGTATGGCAGTTCCTATCAAATTAGTGTATAATACTAAGGGACACGATAACTTGTAATTATAAACTCACAAACAGTAGACTATCATTTGTAATTTCTATTTTTTCTTTGGTAGCACTAGGGTTCTTACTCTTATACAATAGAAACTCGTTTGGTATAGTTTGTTAAGAGAGATTAAGAAAACCAGACCTCCAAATAAAAGCACAAACACTTTTATTTTAACAGGAGTGTTTTGTTACAATTTAGTGAGACAACAAATAAATACATTCATTGGCCACAGCTATACTTTTACAACCAGTTTGAAACTGATTATATAGCTGGGAAACACTGTTAAACAATAAAAAAGTCAGCTATGCATAAAAAAGCCACTAGCTATAAATTACATCTTTCATAAAATTACAACCAGCTATAATGAGTGGTAAGAGTTTCAAAATTAATGGCCACCCAAATGAAATTATAAAAACAAGTACTGCTAATCACTGTAGAATTAATTACACACTTAAGCAATGAAACACACTGTTCTAATTAATAAACCCAAAAGGAAGGTTTGAAATTGTCATCATGTGCTTCAGTGCAGGATGAACAGGGAATCGGTAGCCCTTTGATTTTATAAACAGTTCCTTTCAAGACCAAACTTAAAGTGCTCCTAGTGCTTTGGAATTTTCAAGCAAAAACTGGGCCAGAAGCTTATTTTTTGTTGTCTTTGGTGATGTATTGTGGGAGATGTGTATAAAGAGACAAATGTAAGAATTCAGATATCCTAGTCTGTGATAAGAATGAGTTTATAAATCTCAAATTTGGAAGAATCAACTAATGCAGCTGAAAGAACCAAGTTTCTTTATCTGAAATACTTTTTAAAAGTAGTCTTTGCTTATCTGGTCAAATAGGAACATTAGGGAAACCTTACTAGAAAAAAAATTTATTTGAACCCAAGGATTAACAAGAAAACAGATCTTTTCAGATAGCTCTAGAAATTAGATAACCAACATTAGAAAAATAAATAATTGGAATTCTGAAAAGAAATCTATCAACTAAAGTTGTAATCATAATATTCTCAGGTGCATAATACACTGTCATGTAAATACCAGGATTAACTCTGTACTATCAATCTTTAAATAATTTTGTTACAATAAGAGACCTTGCAAATAAACCTAAGAAACATAACTACAGATGTATGCTTCTGACTGAATTCAGTCATTGTTTTATGATTTTAAAAAAGTTTCTTTGGCTGTGTACCAGCCTCCCAAAAGATGGAAAGCATTAAAATTTTCACTTATTCCTTGGGGTTTCACCTACCATTATACTTTTGTGAAGTTACTGCATCAATTATTAAAAAGTTGAAAGCTATTTTAAGCAAGAGTGGAAAGAAAACATAACTTTCTAATCAAAGTAGGAGACAGAAAAAGACAGTTGTCATAGTCCTAGTTCTGAAGGAAGAGATCAGACAATTGTATAAAGTTAGGTGTCTTTAAGTATGTTGTGACAACTTCCCAATGGTGCCTGTTCCCTTGGTATCTTGAGGTATTCAGCATCTTCTTCTTTCAATATAGACACTGGTAGAAAGTGCATTTAAAAATTCTGTTACCTTAGCCTACCATATATATTTTTAGATTTGAGATAGGACATTCAAGACATTTTCAATATAATTCATAAAGTATTCCAATATTGTCAATCACTGGTTTTATACTTACCTACTTAGTACCTTCATATCAGTTTGCTTATTTATCTAGTGCTGGAATTAATTTAAATTAAATATAATTTGGCTTTGCCCATATACAAGATGAAAAATGTGAAAACGAAAGGTCTTATGTCCTACTAAGTATTGCACTTGAGTTCACTGCAATTATGTATCATGATTTAATTTACCTGAGGACAATCCTGATTTTTAGGTAAAATCAGCTATATCTTGCTTCAGCTAAATCAAATGCTCTTGACAATTTAATCATGTTTTAATTTAGAATTGTATATTTTGTGAATAATTCTTAAATGCATCTGTAAACTTGTTTAGTCCCAAGAAGTTCCTACCAAAATCTCCCTATGCAAAAACCACTATTGCTTTCTTGAAGAATCATGCTTAAGCTACTATATATATTTTAGTCATACAAAATAACCACTTGACCAGTTCTACTGAAAGTAGCCACATAATTTTCACTGGCATACTTTCTTCTTGAAGACATAACTGTGGCTTCCCAAAGAACACTGCTCCTCATAACTGTTAAAGTTTACTATCATTTAAAAAATGATTGAATAATTTCAGTTGGTATTTTATGATCATGCTTAGAAGTATCTCCAATGATTACATATTTTTAAAAGAATAATACATTTTTATGCCTTAATTTTGTGCACTTTTCATACTAAAATTTTTATTGGGTAAGAATGCCATATAGACTACACCACTGAATATACAGGCTTTGATTTTAATAGGAAAACCGCCTCCTAATTGTTGAACAATATATCCCAGGATGAATACTGGAGTTAATGACTCTGGGGACTGTAGTGTACTCTTCAGAACAAAGATAAAAGTGCAAATATGCAAATATGCATTTGATGTTCCAAAGTCAAGATGTATGGAGGCCATCAAGTGCCGTAAGGTCTAATCTCTCGTTTCTCCCACTTCAAACGTTCCAGTTAACTTCATTTTACTATGGAGAGGTCAACGTAATGCCGTGTCCTCTGCTGAACACAGCTACGTCTCCAGGTGTTGTTTTCAGTTGCAAATGATAATGGAATGTTTATGTAGATGGCATTTAAGCATGTTGAATATATACACTCATGAAAAACAATTGGAGAATCACAACTTGGAAATGCTGTCAGTTTTGTGGTGTTACATATAAGCCACGGTGATTGTTCAAGTCTAAACTACTACAAGTAAAGAGCAAAGGAGCAGTATCTGTCATAGGTCCATTCAGGTGGGGAGAGACTGTGTAACTGTTGCTGCCACACCCTGTCATGGTGCCATACCAGCCCAACCCTTGTGAATTTGATAAACTGCAACAACAAAAGAAAAAGCCATAGGATTGTGATCAGTATATAACAGGTCACATTGGCATTTTTTTCAATAAATTTTATAATACAGTTAGTATCAAATACTGAAATAGCACAATGGCTTTCTATAAAATTTAATGACTTTAATACCTTTGATTCTGTATCATATAAAAGAATGAGTAAATATCACAACTAGAACCTGATTACCAGGTAATAATAATAGTGCATATTATATACTAGGCTCTAAGACATTTGGTATACACATGTAGAATTATGTATACATACATCATACTCATTAAATCCTCATAACAGTCCTACAGGTTCTATTATTCCTACTATACAGATGAAAAACAAGCTAAAAAATTGGGTTAAGTAACTTGTCCAGATGAAGTGAGAATTATACAAAGTGCTCTGTCAAGCGGAAAGTATTATGTAGGTGTGTATTACGGCTTCCATTTTTCCCTGATACACAGCTAATGGTATGGATTTGCAATGATTTTGGAATAAGGAAGTCACAAAAATATTTCCTATGGCATCTAATGTTCCCAAGAGTTTTATTTATGGTTTCTCTGTGAATTTTGCATAGCATTATAGATAAGGAAACACAATCACTACAACAGTATTTCTTCCTGCTTACCAATGATTGCCAGCTTCAAACCAATGAGGGATCCTGAAATGAACTGGTACCATTTTACCCCCAAGGCTTAGAGTCCAATGAGAGGTCATTATAGTACAGGTCCTATGGGGGGTTTAACATCTGCTCTAAGCTTCAATATGAAATGATCTTATCTACTGATATATACATCACCAAATCACCTCTTTCATATTTGGGGTAAAGCTTAGATTTGTTTTTTTTTTAATCTACTTCAGTATTAATTCAGTTCATATACCTTCCTTCTCTTGAACTTCCCAGTCTTGGCAGGTCATCATCACTATCATATCGTCTTGGATTGTCAAAAAAGTAAGCTCTGGAACTATAACTGTGACTATTTATCATGCCAGCAGGTGCCTGTGGAAAAATGTATTAGATAGCATATGAAGATTTAGTTTTTGAAAACAATTTTTTATTTATTGATTCTAGAGAGGGGCAGGGGAGAAAGAGAAACATTACTTTGTCCACTTATTTATGTCTCCATTGGTTGATTTTTGTATATGCCCTGATGGGGGATCGAACCTGCAACCTTGGTGCATTGGGATGACACTAAAACCAAATGAGCTCACCAGACAGGGCCTGAAGACTTACTTTTCAACTACAACAGGAGGTTGGGATCTATTTTATAATGCTTTGCCAAAAATAGAAAATCAATATAAACATTCCACTATTTTTAAAAATAAGGAGAAGAGGCATTAGGGAATAGTATATCTTACCAAATTCTGGTTTAATCTCTGTGCCCGGAAAAACAGTACCACTGACCATGCCGGCACATGTTCCCACAGAAAGAGGACCATTCCAAATACTATATACTCTTCTCCAGTTACGTCTTGTATATGAGCCTGTAAAACAGAGTATGGCAGAGCAATTTTGAAATCTGTTTTATGTATAATCAGTCACCCTCCACAATTGACTTGTTTTAAGTAGGGTAAGTTAAAATATATCAAATACAAACAAAAAACTCGGATTTTTCATATTTGTGGTTTCTAATGTAGTGATATTTACCTAAAGGATATAAAAATGCACTGATGTTAAATAGAAGAAAAAGCTGTTAAATTTCAATGCATCGATATATGACAATATTTTTAGATACAGATAATATGGAGTGATCTCATTTTTAGTCCCCACAGTTGGAAAAGGGTTATAAAGTAGACTGCTGGTTCCAGCTGCTCCGTGGGCAAACAGCACCCAGAGTCACTCCTTAGAGAATGTAATATGTAAGTTGCTCAGGTCTTCCACTTATAAAGTCCATATTCAATTTGTTTCTACTCTGCTAGATGTAGGGAGAGAGGAGTGGCAAAGAGACTGAAGAGAATCTGTCATATATCAAAATTTCTTTTCTGTAGAAAGGTAACTGAAATTTTGATATAAGGAAATTCCAGAATTTCTTAAATTCAGTACAAAGTTAAATTAATATAAATAAAAGCTGTGACATGTAGTCTTATCAATATATACTTTTAGGAAGAGTATGGAGAACGATGGAAGGTTAATAAGTATGCATAACTAGAGTACTAGGAATTACTATGGCAAACATCTGACAACCAAGAACTAACCAAGAACTATGAATGCTCTCCCATTAACAAGACTGATAATGCTGGATTTTCAAAAAAGTTATTACGTAAACATCTAAAAATGAACAAAATAGGTTATATATACCTATTTAAGTTATGTATACTTCTAGGGTAAGAGAGAATTAATTATATCCTAACAAATTAAAGACATACCCATATTCACTAGCTAATGACAGGCAATCAATTTATCTATAGATATTTAAATCCAGTCCTATAAAAATTAGTAAAATACATTTATGACCAATAGATTTATGGCACTATTAGTATTATTTACCAAAAGAAAGACAAATGTTCTCTCTGAAGAATAATTTCAAGTACAACATCTGAATGAGGGTTTTTAAACATAGAATTTTAAGTATGGTTATTGATAGTAGTTTGAGATTCTGTAAAAGGGTTTGTAAGTCACTTAAAATATTTTCCTACTTAAAGCTAATTGTATTATCCTATAATTAGATTGGCAATACCTGGTAGGTACTTACCTTATCTGACAGATTATCCCAGCCATAATTAAATGGACTTTCTAATGTATCCTGAGATATGGTGATCACCACCAAATTATAACATGCTCTTGAAGAATAGAGAAGAATCACTACAGAGCCTACAACGACAGTCTGGCACAGAGACATACCCTAAAAGAAATAAAAATCATCATCACAGTACTCTACACATTTGTCATAGCAAAGCTATTCACCCACCTACAATAGTACAGCCACCTGTTGCAATGCACTCCTAGAAAACACTGAGTGAGTACCTTTGAAATAAACTCTTTATTATCTTGCTTTACAATTTCTACTATTAGAACCACTTGTGTTTAAGCTACCCTGTTAATACAAGTAAATTCTTTGCCAACTTGTCCAATGGCATGTGGAGGAGGATTTTTTTCTGCCATAGTTACCTCATTCCCTTAAGTAATACATAAATAGACAAGTTGACAAAAGATCTAAGCTGTGACTGATATTAATCAGAGAGGTAGTTTAGTCATAATGAGTAAAGAATGGGGAATAGAAGCATGAGCCTATTTGACACACTTAATTTCCAATAAGATAGAAAAATAGAAATACAGTTCCTATGCTATTTTTTTCATTCTATTAGTTCATGTTAACCCCCTATTGATACAATTTATGCTGAAGATAAAATGATGTAGGTACCAAGTGTACTTTCAAATCCATAATCCTAAGGTTTTTCACCAATTCCCCAAATATAGAGAGCCATTTTACTTAGTGGTTCTCAACTGGAGTGTGTATATTGGGGAGGAAGTGTGGTATCAACTTTTGCAGGGATCTTACTTAACCTGGGGTCTGTATTTCAATACTATTGGTTTATTGGTTTATTTTGTAATCCTATTTATCTTATGCATTAAAAACATTATTCTGAGAAGTGACACAATTGCCAAAGAGATACACTGCAAAAACACCCAATCTGGTGTTTTGGAAGGTTGTGTTTTGGTTGTTAACAATGATTAAGGGACAAGGATGGCATCTGGCGCCCAAGGGCCAGGGATGCTAGATGACTTTCATACTTTTCATTGTCCCCTGGACATTCACAAAGATGAAAAATCTGTTTTTAATGATCTGAGTCAAAACCTAATTCTGTTATAGTATACATACAAAGTTTATGTTTGCATAGTTTAAATACCAACATTTTCAGAAACATATAAACATGTAAATTGAGGAAAATACGTCTTTTATTCAGAACTTTGTCAAGAATAGTAAAATATTTCAGAAAATCATGAACCTGCAGCAATACTGCTTGTGGTATGTAAGGTACCAATGCGATACACATGTAACAGTTTGCATTTGTAGTGGTTCCATTCACAGTTTCTATGTATGGACACAATCATTTGAGTACTACATTATGCTGCAAAATTTACTGTTAAAATATTTATTAATCGCTTCTTTTATTTCCTCTTTCTATTGCAATTAGGGTAATGACACTGAATTTTTGAGGTTATATGTGTAGGTAGGTTAAACATTCTATTAATTTCAGGATAGAAACAGGTTATTAAAAATATTTGTGATTAGAAGGCTGCAGTGGGTTTGGTAGGATTAAGAACCATTATTATAAATAACTTCCTTATAAGACCACTGCATTTTATAAGCATAAGAAAAAAGAGAATTAAAAGATGAAAGATATCTTAAAAGATTTTGGAATAGTAATAGAGCACCTTCTTTGAGCTAACCCATTAACATTAACAAAAAGTATGTGTGAAAAGAACTAAAACTCTAGCTATCTTAAAATTTTTATAAATACAGGGTAAATTTTTATAATGTGCATTTTTATTTTTGTGAATCAAAAAATGTTAATAGCTAATCTAAAACTAATCCAGATTTAATTTTTAAAGTACATTATTAAAGAAAAGTTAATGAGAAAAGTTAGAATATTCTAAGCATACCATCCTTTAAAATAACCACAAATTTACATAGTCACTGCTTTAAGAAATAAAATGCTAAAAAATGTAGTACTTTTAAAAGACATCTTATAATATGAGAGACTCTTATACTTATACTGTAAAAACTTCAAAAACAAGTTGCGAGAAAAGAGCAAAAAATCAGTAATACCAAAGCAATTATTAAAACAAAATTGCAGCCAAATTACATATATATAACAATAAAAGAATCTCACTGATTTAGAAAACAAAGTAAAATTCTTCCTGCAAAACAGAAAATTACAAAATAAAAAATGGGGAACTAGCAACATGGAAAGTGTTGTCAGAAGTTAAAGAAAATCTTTGTAAATGAATAGCCATAACAAACAATTCTACTCAGGAGCAATCCTCAAGGAATAATTCTGCCTTCTTCCATCTCTGACAATAATATGCCATTTAAAAAAAAGTTTTCATACTTGACCAGTTAGAGTTACACTCATTCTAGTACACATATCATTAACATTTGTTTGCCTGTCATTAACTAGAGTTCAATATTTATTTACGGATGTTTTTAGAATGCAGATAGAAACCTCAACCGACCATTTTAGTTTTGACAAATGTGTACACTTGTGTAAATCATATCGCTACCAAAATTGAGAACATTACCATTATTCCAGAAAGTTCCCTCATACCCCTTCCCCAAAGCCCCAGACACAAATAATCTCCTGCTTTTGTTTTTACCACAACATAGTGCTGCCTGCTTTAGAACTTCATATAAATGAAACCATAGAATATATTTAGTAGGTTTCATTCACTTAGCACAATGTTTTGAAATTCATCCATGTTGTTGGATGTATCAGCAGTTAGGTCTTTGTATTGCTGACGTGAATAATTAGGGTGACCAACGCCTGGATCACTCAAGAGTTTTGCAGTTTCAGCACTGAAAGTCCCACGACGAGACAACTTCTTAGTCCTGGGCAAACCAGGACAGTTAATTCCACTAATTCCACTGTATAATTATCTGCTTGTTTATATGAGTTTATCCATTTTCATGTTGATAAATAATTTCTATGAACGTTTTTATACAATTATTTTTGTGGACATGCTTTCACCATATTTTTTTTTTCGGTAAATACCTAAGAGTGGAACTGCTGGATCATATGGTAGATAATAAGTTCAGATGCATAAGAAACTACCAGATTTTTCCAAAAATGAATGTACAATTTAACACTTCCAACTAAGTATTAGAGTTCTAGTTGCTTCACATCTTAGACAACATTTGGTGTTGTCACTTAATTTTAGCCATGCTGGTGGATGCGTAGTAGTATCTCATTTTGGTTTTAATCTGCATTTTCTTGATGACTAATGATATTGTGCTTGTTGGCCATTTGTATACCTTCTTTGTGAACAGTCTATTTATATCTTTCACCACTTCTAAATTGGGTTGTCTTTGTCATTGATTTGTATTTTTTTTATTTGTTTTATTTTTAGAGAGAGAGGAAGGGAAGGAGAAAGAGTGGGAGAGAAACATCCATGTGTGGTTGCCTCTCATGTGTCCCCTACTGGGGACCTGGCCTGTAACCCAGGCATGTGCCCTGACTAGGAATCGAACCTGTGACCCTTTGCTGCACAGACCCATGCTCAATCCACTGAGCTACACCAGCCAGGGCTGATTTGTATCTTTATGTATTGAGATCTCTATATAAACTGGAAATGAATCCCTTGTCAGATATATTTGTATTGCAAGTATTTTCTTGATGTCTGTGGCTTACCTTCAATTTTCTTAATCTTGACTTTTGATGAGAAATTAAAAATTTTAATTAATTCTAATATACTCTTTTGTGATTATTTGCTGTGACCTGTCTTAAAAATCTTTATCTAAACCCAAAATGCAAAGAAAGATATTTTCATCACTGCAGGAAGTTCTATTGGAAAGAACTATTTTTAAAGTATTTAAGGTCCTTTGCATGTCCATATAAATTTTAGAATCAGTTTGTCAACTTCTATTTTAAAAACCTCTCTGTAGAATTATGATTGGGATTACATTGTATCTATAGATCATTTTAGGAAGCCCTGATATCTTTATACTGCAACTTCCAATCCACGAACAATGGTCTTCATTGTCTTAGGTCTTTAATTTCTCTTAGCAATATTTTATAGTTTTAGTATAGAGGTACTTACTGCCTGTTCTTTTTGGAAAATTTATCCCTAAGTACTTTATTCATGATACTATTGTAAATGGAGCTATTCATTGAATCTCATTTTTAATTGATTGTAACTGTTTATATATATATGTATATATATAAACACAATATAATTTTATATTTTGACCTTGTATCCTAAGAACTTGCTTAATTCACTTATTAGTTTTTGTAGTTGTTTAGTAGAGTGCTTAAAATATTCTATATAAATGATCATGTTATCTGCAATCAGAGACAGTTTTACTTAATTTTATACCTTTTGTTTTGTTTTTCTTCACTGGAATATTGAATAGAAATGGCAAGAGTGGGCATCTCTGCTTTGTTCCCAATCTTAGAAACACTACAATCAGTACTTTAACTATGACAGTAATTGTAGGTATTTTATAGATTAGATTGAGGAACACTCATTCTATACCCTATCCGTTGTTTCATTGTTTTTTAATCATGAAAGGTGCTTAATTTTGTTAAATGTGTATTCTACACCTATTCAAATGATTATTTTTCTCCTTTGCTCTCCAAAGGAAGTGAATTATGTTGATTGATTTTTAAAATGTTAAATCAATATTGGGAGGAATTCTTCTTGGTCATAATGTATTATCCTTTTTATATGTTGCTTAATTTCTGTGTCTCTAAGTATAAGGGGTACTAGTTTGTACTTTACTTGTTTTGTAATATCTCTGTCAAGTTTTTGTATCAGAGTAATGCTCATAAATAAAACATGTTAGGAACTGTCCTCTGTCCTCTACTTTCAAGAGTTTTTATACATTGATGTTATTTCTTCATTAAATATTTGAAAGAATTAATCAATGAAACCACCTGGGTCTGAGTGTTTTCGAGGAAAATTTATGATAAATTCATTTTTTAAAAATAAAGGACTATTCAGATTTGTGTTATATCTTCTATCAACTTTGTTACTTTTAAAGAAATTTTCCTATTTCCTCTAAATTGTTAAATTTACCCAGAGTTTTTAATAATATTCCCTTTTTTCTTCTAATATCTCTAAAATCTATAGTGATAATCCCTCTTTCATTCATGGTATTGGTAATCGGTGTTTTCACTCTGC